GAGGACGCCCAACGGGCGCCGCGCGGGCGCGTGAGAGCCCCCGGGCGCAGCGGCGCGTGCGCACGAAGATCCCGCGGCCTCCCGCGGAGCGAGCGGACGGGTTTGCATCAGTGATTCGCGCAGGGAGCGCAGAGGAGGTGGTTAAATCATCATGCGTGACCTGGTGTAGTGGTTAACCGTAGGGCTGGTCTTAAAAAACTGGTTGGGTAACATGGTTCAGGTTTTATCACTTTGGATATCAGGAAAATTAAGGCTTAAAATAAATAACCGCCATAGTGAGTGGCAGAACTCACACCCAGGTCTCTCTTCTAAGTCCTGGCTTAAGTGAAATCCTTAGGTTGGCCTTGTTGAGACGCTTGAGGTGTCCTCAGAAAATGAGTTAAAAGCCAAGCCCCAGGTTTGCACTGGCTAGTAAAGTCAGGGAGAATTACTATGTTTAGGTCTTCACTGTCGTGTTCGCTGTTTAAGTCTCAGACATTTTGAAATAAAAATTTATTTAAAAAAAAGTCCCACTTCTCTCTGTGCAGTGCTTAGATGGGTACCACCAACTCTCTCATAAAAGCCTGGTGAATGCCAGACCAGAAGTGTTTTAGTTAGAAACCTTTATAATCCTCAGTCTCCGTTATCAATCTATTACATATCAATCTGTGTATGTGTCTGGAAAGCACTGTATGTAAATGAGATAATTATGTGTAAGCACCATATAATAATTACTATTATTGCTGTTGAAACTCACGAGGAATGTAAGATAGTGTGGCTATCTTACATTCTTACATTCACCAGTTTTTATTGATTAATTCAACAAACAATGATTAAGCACCCACTACCATGTGCCAAATCTTGAGGGGCCTTGTAGTCATGCAAATAATTTGAGCTTTACCTTTTGAGATTCCCTATCGGATAATAATTTTAAAAAGTTTTTAGGTGGAGCCATTTACATAGTTAGATTGGGACAGAAGTGGCTGAACAGGAGTCAGGGAGGCGATTCAGTACTTTGATTTTCAAATTAAATTTTAGAAAGCATTGGAGTCCTTTTTCAAACAAAGTCTGTCATAGAGCCTCCACATATAAAGTGAATGAAAAAGTGTTTTATTACTAAGCATTTATAAGTTCAAATTTTTAACGTTAACTTTAGGTAAATAAAACAAAGAGGCTGGTTTGTTGTCTTGGGAGGTTTTTTTTTTTAGCAAAAAAAAAAAAAGGAATTTATTTGAAAGAAATGGGTAGCTAAAATAATAAATAGGAAGTCTGCAGAACCAAGCTCAGAATGTATTTTCTGGCCCCACTGCCACTGGATTCTCGACCCTGCTGTTCTGTGCTTTAAAAACTTTGAAGTTGGGGGTTATGGACAACAGTTGAAGTTATAGCAGCCTTAGGACAATTTATTTCTTTTTACTCTGTTTTGGTTGTATACTACCAAGAATAGCCTAATGCCTCCAGAGAAGTAGATGCTAACAAGAGTGATTTTCAAATGATTCACCTTGAAATCTTGAAATCAATTACAGATTGTAGGAGGAGATTAATTCTGAGATCTACACTGAAATGACAGTCTCAAATCAGTGTGAGGGCAGTTTTGCAATATGTTAAATTTTGGCATTGTATCTCTTTTAGCAATATAAAAATCTATTTTTTTAAAAAATGAAATTTGAATCAAACATTTGTGGAGCCTCTGAAGTATGTCTCAGAAACCCTAGGTTCTATAGCATAAATGGTAAAAATCACTGATAAAGAGAAACAGGGATTTAGATTTAGATACGTTTCACTGCATTCACTGAAGCCTTGGGAAAAGGGCTAAGGCAGGGGTCCCCAACCCCTGGACAGCAGACTGGTACCAGTCCATGGCCTGTTATGAACCGGGCTGCACGGCAGGAGGTGAGCGAGCACAGCTTCATCTGTATTTGCAGCCGCTCCCCAGGGTTAGCATTACTTCCTCAGCTCCACCTCAGGTCATCAGGCATTAGATTCTCATAGGAGCACCGGTCCCTGGTGCCAAAAAGGTTGGGGACCATGGGCTAGGGAACTGAAGGATTTCTGTTGGAAGATGCTCTCTTGGAAAAACCTCATCAGTGATGAGGGTTTCCCTAATCCAAGGCCCTTTGAGTATCTCCCTGTCTTTTCTGAGGTAGGAAATTCCTTCAAAGAGAGCAGATATTTGGTGGACCACACCCAGATATTTAAAAGTGTTTGAATGAAATATTACCCTAACCTAAAGATACAGAGTTGGAGAACATGACTTCTAGGTATCTCTTCTGACTGAGATTATATGGTGCCACTTCCATAACAGAAATGACATAATTTATCAAAACTTCACAACTCAGATCAGATGCTTGATTTTCTTTTCAGTTCTACTTCTTTATGGCCTTGAAACAAAGATACTTAGAAGTTGGTATTCAAAAGCCTAAGTCAAAATTTAAAAAATATTGTGTCCAATAAATAAGAGTTAAATTACATGATTATCTAGTTTTCCACAAAGCAAGGAGAAGTGCATATCCTTTTGAACCCCTTTAAATAACTACAATGAGTGATACTGTGTACAGTATTTAGGATGTGCCTGGATAATATCATGCTGCTCCTTAGAAAGAAGGTATTTAGCCTTCTTGTTTTTGTTTTAAAGGCACCTAAGACATTGTAGATGTTCAGAACATGTTAAAAATGAGTTCTACAAAATTAATAAATTGGAATATGCTAAAATTAAGAATTATTGTTCATATAAAGGCACTATTAAGAGAGTGAAAAATATTTGCAATACATATATCTATCAAGACACTTGAATCTAGAAAAAATCATTAAAAAAAGACAATCCGGTAGAAAGATGGACAAAGTATCTGAAGGGACTTCATAAAGAAGAACATCTAGATGTCCAATAAACACGTGAAAAAGTGCTTAATTTCAACAATCATCCAAGAAATGGTAATTAAAACTATAATGCAATAACATTATACACCCACCAAAGTGACTAAAGTAGAAAAGATGGAAAGTACTAAATGTTGGTGAGGATATGCAGCAACTAGAACTTTTATACACTTGGCAACCACTTTGGAAAAATTTTGGGTAGTATATATCACTGCTGATTATACAGGCATAACTTGTTTCATACTTCACTTTGTTGCACTTCACACATGTTGCTTTTTTACACATTGAAGGCAAGACCTTCTACCAGCAAAGAGATTATGACTCCCAGATCATAGTGGTCTGGAACCAAACCTGCAATATCTTTGAGGTATGCCTGTATGTATACCTTATGACGCAGCCATACCACTCCTAGGTATGTGTTTGTACCAGTGTGCTCAGGCTGCCATAACAAAATCCACAGAGATTTATTTCTTACAGCTCTAGAAACTGCAAAGTCCAAGATCTAGATGCCAGCTGATTGGGTTCTTGGTGAAAATTCTCTTTCTGGCTTGCAGCTCCATCTTGCTATATTCTTCCATAGCAGAGAGAGCAAGTTCTGGTGTCTGTCTCTTCCTCTTCTGTTTAGGGCACCAGCCCTACCAGATTAGGGTCCCACCCTTATGACCTCATTTAACCTTTATTGCTTCTTCATGTACTCTACCTCCAAATACAGGACTGTCTGCCCCGGCAGGGGTTACCTGTAATGCCCCGAGGAATAAACATGCGATGATGTACAGGCAACAACAACAACAAAAAAATAGGACTTCAACATATTAGGACTTCAACATATGAATTTTGAGGGGACACAAACATTCAGTCCATAACAATACCCAGCAGAAATTGTGTGCGTGTGTTTTCCAAAAGACATGTACTAAACTATTCAAAGCGGCACTACTCATATTTGTAATATTCAACCTGGAAATTTCTCAAGTGCCTATCAATGATAGAGTAGATAGACAAATTGTGGCATGTTCACATGATGGAATGCTATACAGCAACGAGAAGGAATGGCCTAGAATCACACGTAACATGCATGAATCTCACAAACATAAGAGTGAAAGAAGCCAGATATTAAAGTTCTTACTATATGATTTCATTTATATAAACTAAAAAACTGGCCACAACTTATGCTATTAAAAGGCAGGATAGTGGTCATTCTTAGGGAGTTGCAGGGGGATGGGGGCAGTGACCAGAGCAGTATGAGGAGACTTTTGGGGGACTAGGATTATTCCCTCTTCTCTCTCTGTCTCTCTCTCCCCCTCTCCCTCTCTCTCTCTCTTCATTTCTATAGCTTTAAACAAAAAAGAGAAACTTTGTGTTTTTTAGAGTAGTTTTAGGCTCATAGCAAAATTAAGAGGAAGATACAGAGATTTCTCATATATCTCCTGCCTCTTGCCTGCCTCCTTCATTATCAACATTTCCCATCAGAGTGATACATTTGTTAGAATTGATGAACCAACAAATTATTCTTTCTTGATCTGGATTCTAGTTAAATGGATGTGTTCAGTTTGTGAAAATTATTTTTACTGAACACATATGATATGTGTACTATTCTATATGTATATAATACTTCAATAAAAAGTTTGAAAAAAACATTGAGTTCTACAGGTACAATTATATATTAACACATCCTATTATTAGTGTTTAGGACGAAGTATGTACAGAGAACATATATAGTGGACATGACCCAAACATGATCAAACATACAGAGTACATATTCTCATGTTGTTTTTATAGCCTTACTGTGAGATTCTATTTACTCACATATTTATAATAGTGTGATTTAAGAGAGAATAGAGTAGGCATGTAGATTTTAATTCAGTGCTTTTCTCGGGAGAATTATGGGCAAACATACTGGCTGCATATGTCAACATGTTGGTAAAAGATAAAGAACTTATGAAAAAGGGATAGAAATGTTTTTATTTGGGATTTTATTTCCAATTTGAGGCTTAAGGACTTTTGGTTAAAGGAAAGAAGGACTATGGAGATGATTTATATTCCAGCATGCTTTGGCACTTAAAAACAGATACCCAAAAGAGCCACCCAAATCTACTAGGAACCCAAGGCTGCTTAATGGCTCAGTGCCCTCTAAGCCAAGTTCAACACCAGAGGAGGTGGTGGTGAGTTACCCCTGCAGCTGGATGAATGTTCATTAATTCTCTCCACTCTCATCAATGGCAAACACTGCTTGCTGCTCCATTTGTATATCCTTGTGTCTGCCCCGTCAAAGACAATATACATTGGTTTTATGCAAAATTATCCTCATAGAAGTTCTGAGTTATGGCAGAAGTCATTAGGAAAGGAAAGAACTGCTGTATTCTTTTCTAGATCTTCTTGAGTCCTTCTGTGGAACTGACTGATATTTTGACAGCCCCCCCAAGGAGTTTGCTGGCAGCTCGGGATTGCTATTACAATGAGTGGCAAGAAGAATTACTCTGGTAAAACATTTTACCATTAACGTGGTGCAGAATCTAATCCAAAAGCATCTTGTGTCTAAACTACTCTCAAGTTTTACCCCCACTGGAATGTAAACTTTCTAAGGCCAGAGATTTATGTCTGTTTTATTAACCTTTGTGATCTACTACCTAGGATAGTATTTGGTACATGGGAGGTGTTCTGCTCGTTGAATAACTGAAAAAAAGTGAATAGAAGTAGTGTGTTTGAGGGATGTTAGAGAGGGATGTTAGAGAAAGAAATTATACTATGTAGGGTCAATGGTTTTAATTTAATTAAAATTTTAATTTTGGTAGTTGGAGAAATTAAACTACAGAACAGGTAAGAAACATATTCAAAATCGTATGCCAGAATCAAGAGTCAAAATTCTGGCCTCGTAGCTTTCAGTGAGCTTTTCATTAGGAAACATTTCTATTCCCTTCTTCTGCTATGGGTGCTAGAATCTGGTGGCAAGGAGATATATTTGTGAGTTTTTGAAACTAGATGATAATTTATGCTGGTGGAGAACACAATCCATTTTATGGGCACGTTTCCAATATTACCAATCTTCGTAATATGTAGTCAGCATTTGAGGAATATTTGAAAACA